TTTTTACAAAGTTGTCTTATATTTCAAAAAAATTATCGACATTTTTGCCCTTTTCAAAGGTTCTTGAAGGCAGATCTTATCGTCTACAACATCCATGGGTGGGAATTGTGAACAGATTACAAGCTGATATTATAAAAAAAAATACCGATATGATATTCGTAAGGCGAATGAAACAAGAGTATTTTTATACAAGTACTGATTATGGACTCCTGGCGAGTAAAATGGGTTCAGAATATCTACCAAAGCTTCTCTCATAGGTAAGGTCACTTCCGTCCTTTCTTCTTTAAAAACAATATAATTTTGACATTTATTTATTTATGTATTTTAGGTGCTTAATTATTTATCGATTTCCGTGGATTACGATACTTCATGGGCTTTAATACTGGCTGTACTCTCTGATCTAGTGACCTACCCACTTTGTATTTTATTTAACTGATCTTTGTTTTTATTTAATTATGGAGTGATTATTTAAAACACTTAACCATGCTGAATATGTAATTGCAGGGACAATAATCATTTCATCAACTACTTCCTTTCCTAAATTTCTATATAAGACCTATCAAAAAATCTACTGTATGTTAAATATATCTTCATCAATATAATGGTATGTTGCAGTACATATACAACCTGAAAGAACAAAAAAAAATTAAGTCAGCGCCAACGGGCGCGCATGATTCTCATCAATGGTTTCGTGACGAGAATATTGTTTGTGTTATACTTTTTTGACAAAACTTCAAAAATGGTCCATATGGTTTCCGAAAATCTAAAGTTTAGTCCCTAATTTATAAAAACCTAACATATGGTCCGTATGGTTTCAAAACTTTTAAAAAATGGTCCTTTTCGCTAACTGAGTTAACATTTAGCCGTCAAGTGAAGAGCATTTCTGTCATTTGACAACCACAAGGACCATTTATGAAGTTTTATCTTAATTTTTAAAAAATAAATAAATAAATAAATAAAATTATTTAATATTAAATGGCCCCTCTCTCTCTCTCTCTCTCTCTCTCTCTCTCTCTCTCTCTCTCTCTCTCTCTCTCTCTCTCTCAAAAACCCTACCCCAACGCCTCCTTCTTCTTTTCCCCTTCGTTCATTCTTTTCTTCCATCATCACCAACATCACCTTTTCTCATCTATATCTCTAAAGACACCATAAATCATTCATCCAATCCTCGGAAAACATCTACCTTAACCCAAATCGAAACTAGAAACCTAATTACGATACATTGTGACGCTTCCAGTTGGATTTATTGGGCATTTAATTTGACTCTCCCATTTACAGTATTTGATGATGTCGTGGTGGAGAAGAAGGTTGACCGATCTCCTCCATCGATTTCATAAGGACCCACTTACGATTTCTAGGGCTAGGCGAATTCATCCGATTTGGATCTGCCTTCGATTTCATTATGAACAAGCACTCATTTGATTCTTTGGATCTGTGTTCGGTTTGGATCTGCCTTCGATTTCATTATGAACAAGAACTCAATGGTAAATAAAGAATCGGAATCCTAAATTCGAATCAAAAGCTGAAATCATTTTTGTTTTTGTTTCTGTAAATCAATTTGAGTTATTGTGTGGGTGTTCTCATTTCTGGAAATCGATTTGTGTGTGGGTATTCATCCTGCCATAAATTGATTTGTATGTTGGTGTTTATCTCTCACTGTTCATTCAGTTTATTCAGTTGCTTTATATGTTGGGGTCTTGTGATTCTGGTGCTCCGGTGACTCCACATATGAGTTTGGACTCTCCATTACCTAATCCATCGGAGGTTGAAATCATTCTTTTCCTCTCTTATTCAGGCTAAAGATGAAGAAGAGAGGGGAAGGGAAAGAAAGATAAACATGAGGTGCTTTTCTTCTTAGGTCTTTCGCTTCCTTTTCCAATTTTTCATTATTCTTCTACCGGTAGTACATTTTCTGGTGAGTTTCAAATTTAATTGTGTTTATGAATGTGTAGTTTAAGTTTCAGGTCAAATAAGGAAAAAGAATATGGTACGGGGGAAGTTGGGTGTTACTTTTTCTTGCTTGATGCGTTTAAGAGAGAGAGAGAGAGAGAGAGAGAGAGAGAGAGAGAGAGAGAGAGAAACCTTTTAATATTAAAAAATTAATTTTTTTTTTTTAAATAAGGCAAAACTTC